GGAAACAGACCCTATGATGACAGGCTGAGAGCCGTGGGGCTCTTTAGCCTGAAAAAGCGCAGGCTCAGGGGTGATCTGATGGCCACCTACAAGTTTATCAGGGGTGACCACCAGCATCTGGGGGAATGTTTGTTCACCAGAGCGCCCCAAGGGATGACGAGGTCGAATGGTCACAAACTACTTCACGATCGTTTCAGGCTGGACATAAGGAAGAATTTCTTTACTGTCCGAGCCCCCAAGGTCTGGAACAGCCTGCCACCAGAGGTGGTTCAAGCGCCTTCATTGAACACCTTCAAGATGAAACTGGATGCTTATCTTGCTGGGATCCTATGACCCCAGCTGACTTCCTGCCCTTTGGGCGGGGGGGCTGGACTCGATGATCTTCCGAGGTCCCTTCCAGCCCTGATGTCTATGAAATCTATGAAAAAAAATCTGAGAAAACCAGGACCCCTGGTGATCAGGTGCCACATCTGAGATGTGGACACATTAGTAGAGACACTATGCATATATATGGTAATAAACAATTCCTGAACCAAAGAGATTGCAAGTTATTATCATTCATGTTTAAGAGATGGATAACTGAATGTATGTGCACACATTTGGGGTACCCGGTCAGTGATGAGGTAGCTTACTTTAAGTCACATGATCATAGGTCTGGTCTAGGGTATACACACATTTACCAGTGCTGGGAACCATGCTGGGAACCTGATCTAACCTGATCTAAGTACATTGGGGTGGGGAAAGGGGCAGGAGGGATTGGATGGAGGTTAGCAGGTCTGCTGGGCAGGCTGGTGAGTCTGCAGGAGAGAGTTGTCTGTCTGAGAGCATGGGGACTCGGGGAAGGGATAAAAAATAGCTTGGTCAGGGTGCTGAGGGGGTAGGAAGAGAGCATCCCTGGGGCTGGGATAAGCAGTTGGGATTTCTCAGCCCCAGGGCTGCACTCTGAACATGTACATACATTTTTTAATTCAAGCTAACCCTAACTTACTGGATCTCTTAAGGAGAACTAATTTAGATTTGGCCAGACATTTTTGCCTGATCTAACCTCCCAAAATGTCTATACAGATCAACACTTAGATTGACCTAACCTAGGTTGGTCAATCCAAGTGGAATGTCTGCACATACCTGGAAGCACAGAGAAATTACTTACCTAAGGTCCAGTAGGAAGTTTGTGAGAGAGCTGGTTAATGAACCTCAACTTCCTGAGTTCAAATCTACTCTATTAGCCTGGCTCTTCCTCTTTAAATTACCCAGAGTATAGCAGAGAATCTATGATAGGAAAAGCAGAACAAAATGGAAGAGAGGTTGGATGTTAGCCAAAAGAGTTAGAATCAAAATGACATAACCTTACTACCTTGCACTCTCAGTATCCGCTAATTGTATCCACCTATTTTCCAATACAAAAATGATTTTTGGACTTGGTCTGAAAGGTCATCAAAGTTAGCCTTTTCTGGACAACAGGGAGAATTGAATTATAAAGCCAGGGCTACATTGCTGAGGATAATCTGACCAACGTCCCAAAATTAGACATACTTGATATTCAGCTGAGTACGAGTACTAAAGTGAATAATGGGAAGGGTGTTATCTCTTAGAAATCCTAGTCCTAAGCAGTTTAGGGGATCTGAATATTTTTTTTCCATAAGAACATTGGTGAGGAATGCCACATCCATCATAGATGCAATGTGTTATTCATGGTTGTGTAGTGCCTTAACTAAACAGTGGTAACTTCTAAAAATCTGTTCTTCATGATTAAGAATTCCTTTAAATGTATTTTTCAGTATTATTTATAGACCCCTTTATACTCTTCTCTTAGTAAACAAAATTCAGCAAGAAGCATACAGATTTACTAATGTACTTTAGCATAAGCAGGGTTTTTTTTACATTTCACCAAGCATATTTGTATTTTTTCTCTAAGATTATATAATATTAGTTAAAATATAAGTTGCTTCCAATGGAGAAGGGAAAGGGGGAGGGGAATAACTGTGGGCAAGATAAGAAACAGCTAAGGTAAATTTCCGAGGGTAGAAAATGAAGGTCACTGTTCTCTCCATGTAAACAAGTCTTTAAAACCAGCTGCATCTCACATACACTGTTTTTTTTTATGGAGAGTTTTATTAATATTGTGCCTCTGAAGCTTCTGAAATTCTGATTTATGTGATGCTAGGCAGGAAACAATCTTTTCAACGGCATTAGTTTTTACATGTACTTATCTGCATGGCAAGCTTTAATAAATCTTCAGTTTCATAAGGTATTTGTTTACACAGAGCATTGTTTCCAGAAATAAAGTAAATAGCACACATACCCTCTGAAGTTAGACCACCCACACAAGACAATAACCTTTGAGATGCAATAAAGAAAAAAGAATGGTCACTTGGCAGGAAGTCCCAGTAGAGTAAAGATGCCAGCATTTACAGCTGAATCCAAATGTTCAACAGATGGTAAACTGAATAAGGTACAGCTGGAACTATAGCACTATGTGGGGGAAAAAGTACATGATGAAGAGTGGAAGTTGAAATGCAGAAGAGGAATATTAACAAGGTATCTTGGAACAATAGTGAAACAAGGTCAGTCTAAGTCATATTATTAAAGATTCCAGCTGAGAAAGATAATAGGACCCTGCTGGACTAATTTTGGCTTTAATTTATGACATGACCTTTGGGCACAAAGGATGACATTTTAATATAAGACATTTCTTTGCTATAATTTAGATTTGTTCTGCTGTAAATTGTCTCAAAAATATTTTGCATGAATATTTATTTTACATTCCTGCATGCATATGAAGTGTAAGACACCACCATATCTACTATTTCCACTCGCTCATTCTTTGAAGCTGCTAAATGTAAAAATATTATTTTTTTTAAATATTTGATTTACCATAGATTTAAAATTGTATCAATAAGGAATAGTATCTTGAAATTAAAAACAGAGCTGAAATGAGCTGTTTACCAGAGATTATTGCCACAAGCCCATGCTTTCTTATGTCACTATATTCAATCTCCTATCTGAAGTTTATTTTTTGTAACCACTGGCTAGGTACTATTTCCTCATTCCTCAGAAGTTTCTCCATTGCCTTTTACTATAGGGTTTAGAGAAGGAACAGTGTCAAAACGTGATGCAAGACAGTGGGAGTAAAGGGTCATCCTTTCTATAGAGAATGCTTCTTTCTGACTTGTGCCAAAAGTTTCCAGGAGTTAGTTGTGGTAATCTCTTAATGGCCACTCACTGCACTGTCATGTCACTAACTGCCTAGGGACAGGGTAGCTCTGCAAAATCAGAAAGCCAATGGCAACATAATATGGGAGCTTGTAATGTTGCCAGAGGAGATGGGGCATTGTAATAATCTTCAGGGAAATGCTTCATATTAGTCTGAATTCAGTGAGATTTGGAACAGTTTCCCCATTTGTTCATTGCAGTCCATCATGACATCTACCAGACTGAAAGTCATGAGATAGAAACACTTGGCTAAATCCTGGATAGATCCTTTGGAGTTCTATTGATCTTATAGTAATTGAGCTTCTAGCCCATTGGCACTACTTATTGTTCATGTACAACACACACACACACACACACACACACACACACACACACACACAGGGCCAGATTCTGATCTTTAATTTTGCACACCCGCTCAGATAGTTAATAGTGAAAGTACCAAGATGCAAGTACAAAAGTCAGGTTCCAAAATTGATGCAAACTGCATCCACCAATTTCAGTGACTTCTTAAAAATACTGCAGTGTCTGATTAAATGAAAGAAAATAACTCTCTTGTCATTTAATACGAAATAGAAGAAGGAGCAAGGGCATGTTGTCTATTTTCAATTGTCTCAGAGTTGCTATGTTACCCCAATCAAAGACCAGTGCCCTGTTGTATGAGCATTGTACAATCATGCAATAAAAAGACAGTGCTTATCATTAAACGATTACAGTGCACCTTAAAGATAAGATGTAACAGGTGGTTGAAACAAATCAATGAGTGTGTGGGGAGGATAATCATAATTATAGCATAAGGGCTACTTAGTCAACAGTAGCACACTCATAAAAGAGCCTTTGCTACACTGTTATTTCAGAGAAACCATGTAGCTTTTATTTGTTACAATGTCTGTTCTGAAATGTCTTTTTTTTTTTTAATTTTGCAGGGGATATGCTCTGTGGCAAAGGACTATTTGAATAACTATCAATGCAGAAAGTCATTTCTCTTAAAGTGAAAATGCTGCCAGAATAATGCTAGGTTTTCAAATATGATTGAAGAGAATACATTTATGGTCCCCTTTCTGTCTTGTCCTACGCAAGTCTTTATAGTGTGTTTATGTAAAGATATTAACTTCCAACTGCTGTTTAGCTGCTATGATGCATAGGTCTAGAAGTTCTGAATAATGTTCATAAGCATCCACAGTTTGGCAGGCTTGTTTAGCTGAAACTCCAAATCCATTCAAAGCTCTCTTGTTATTAAATGTGTTAAGTAGAATTACATTCAGCTGCATACATTTATGGGAAATTAACCTCACAAAAACAGGTACAAAGGTTTGGTTTAATTTTGGAACAGGTTCATAAAAGAGTGTTTGTATTTGTATTAAACAATGCAGGCTGCAATGCTTAACATTTTAAGAGGTTTTAACATAGATGAATAGTAAAGTTTTAATAAGTATCCCCCTCACTATTTTTAGCTTAACTCACTTTCATAAAAACTATATTGATTCACATATTTTCAATAACAAAAGCAAATTACAAAAGAAGAAAAAAAAAAGAAAACCCCCATAGCATATGCTATGCATAATATTAAACAACTTTACCCCAAAATATAGTGTAAGGTTATCCAAATCAAATAGCAAATCATTATTTCTGTTTTAATTATAACTGAAGGGAGCTATAATTTAATGCATTCCAATCTTTTGTTTGTTTGTTTGTTTTTTGTTTAGTGCATAATATAGTTTTAACTTTACTTTTAAACTATGAATGTAAAAATCTCTTTAATTATTGGTGCCCCACATGAGATCTCACAGTTCTTTCTTAAGTACAGGAGAGATTTACAGGAAAAGTGCACTGTCTGCTATGCTGCTGACCCAGTGTGTGATCCTGAGTAAGTATAAACTTTTTTATATGAACTTTTTCTACCACTGTTTCACCAGTTCTGAACTAAGGACATGGATTACTCCTTTTGGAATGTGTTTTGAGATCTAAGAATTCTGCCATCCAGATGCTATCCAGATGCTTAGTGTTATCATGATATTGTTCCTGGGTAAAATGTCAACTTCATATAATATGTAATGATAATAAGAAGGTGGAAGTATTTTTTCCCCTCATTCTGCATAAGACTATGCTAAAATATTTTTTCCATTCTACATGGACTTTATGACCGCCTCTGTTCAAGCACTAGAAGAAGGATTAGAAGTCTCAGTTCTCTACCAACAACTGGAAAAATTAATTGCAAACAATGTTAGACAGCATTGCCATAACCCCCCCCCCCTTAGTTTTCAAGCTAGAGAATTAGGCAACTAAGAAAAAGGAGCATTTAAACCAGAATGTTGTTAATTAAACAGCTAAGATAGCTAAGAGGAAAATACTGAAAGGGAGGGAGCTTTAGGCTCTATTTCTCAAAGGATTCTGTGGTTTACCATGGAAGGAACAGGGGAAAAGAGAGACAGGGCAAGCCCCCATCTTTATTATAGCTAACTGGATAGGGCATTTGTTTTTGTCAGGTAGAAGACCGCTCTTCAAATTCCACCTCTACCCTACAATTTAAGAAATATTTGAGCACAGGTCTGCCACATGCCAGTAATTATCTAACCAATGAACTGTAGTGTCCATCTGTCTTTTTTGAGCGCTCCTTGGAATAATTAATAGCTAAACAGTAGATGGAAAATGAGACCACAGCAGGAAATATTGAGGAAGCATCACTGTACAGGTGTGATCACCTTGAGCATTTATAGACATGCTCCAGGAATGGAGGGAGGGGCTGCTCTGAGAGCTGCTCTAATTAAAGTGCCTGGAGCAGCACATGTATCAGCATCCCCAAGCTGAAAAATGGCAGTGGAGGCACTTTAACTAAAGCTTGTCAAACGATTAATCGAGTCTGCTCTGATGCACTGTAATTACAGTGTGTCGGAGCAGCCTTCCTCCATGTGCATAGGCATTCCTTGTGTTTGGGTCATGTTCTAAGGAAATGTGAGTTCAAGGCCATTTAAAGTTAGGTGAAGAAGAGATTTGAAAACAGAGACATATATTGTACCTCCCAGTTTTAGGACTCGCCATTGGGTAAAATGATATCTGTATGAGTCAGCAAGAAGTCTGGTGTGTAGATGAGAAGTACTCTAAAACATCTATTGGATCAGACCCAGCTGGCAAGGGGCTTGGGGGACATTCAATTTGAGCATTTGTATGATCTACAGAACAGAGCAAATTAGTAGCATCAAGAAAAGGCAGTTTTGTACAAACACAATGACAGTGTTAGGGACTGGGGCATAGGTGGTCTTGCCTAATGGTTAGGCCATTGAGGGAAGGCAGGGCCTGGACCTGGGTCAAAGAACAGGAGCCATATGCCAAAGGCAGAGGGAAATCCAGAACCAGAGTCCACAACACAGTCCAGGGTCAGGATCCAAGGGTCAGATGCCAAGTACCAATCTAACTGGCAATCCACAGGGCAAAATCCCCAAACAGAGCAGTACCAGGGTCCACAAGGAAATCCAAACTGACCTTCAGAAATAAGGCAAAAACAAGGGTCAGGAACCCGGGCACTTTTCACAGCAAAATTGTTGATTGGCTTGCGAAACTAGGGCCTCAGTTTATGCTAAATAGATAGATGTTGTTCTCAGCAGCCAGTCAGGATGCTTGCTTCTCCTAAATGGGGGCAGAGTTCAGTAGCTGAGGATTACTGCAAGTGTGGCTGCTGAGGTACTTGGCTCAGATTAGTCAGCCTGCTCAGAGTCACTGACAGAAAGCTAGGTGGTATGGGTATTAATTGTTACTTAGCAATTAAATGGGGATCTTTAGGATCTTAGTGGGTGTGTCTACACATTCATTAATGCACCCTAATTACTGTGCATTACATTTAGTATTTGGTTAAACAACTACTAAATCAATGTGTAGTTGGTCGTGCTACTGTGCAGTAGCACCAGCTCATGGGCTTTTCTGCTTCCTGCACAGTAGGATATTAACACACTTTTTGCCGGGCATGCTACTGCTTAATGTTATTAGGCTACTGAGCAGTAAGCATCTCGTGTAGATACACCCAGTGATGCTTAGGCATAGGTATCAGAAAGGTGAGTAGATGTCTAAGGGCATTTGTAGACAATACTGTAAAGTGGTTTAAAGTGGGTTAAATGCCTTTTGCACTGCTAATAGCATTGCTGTTTACACATTCAGCAGCGTATTGCATGTTAATTCCAGATGCTGTAGCACATTCGGCAGTGTAATGTGCCTTAAATGACTTTGGGACGGCAAATGACTTTGGGGCACTGCAAACTAAAACAACTCCAAGGAGTTCTAGTTTCCTACCCTACAGCTGTGGAGGGAAGCACCAGGCTCCATGTGGCTCAGGGCTATGCAGGCAGCCCATGCAGGCAGCCCATCAGCAGCCTGAGAAGGCAGGCTCCACAGAAGGGGGAAAAAAAAAAGCAGTGAGCCTGATCTTTCTCCTCCCCACCACTGGAGTCTGCCTGTCTGAGCTGCATGGAGGCCCAGTGCTTCCTTCCACAGCTGTGGTGCCCTCTAGGACTGCCCGAGCCAGGTGTCTGTGGGCAGGTGCCACCTGGGGGGAGGGGCCATCGCTGCTGCAGAGGAAAGCACCAGCCCCTTCCCCTCCACCCCAGCTCAGGGACTGCTCTGCCCACCAGCAGCTTGCTGTCCCCTCCCCACCACTGGAGAGGCAGGAAAGGATCGGGTGAACATGGGTGTACATGACACAGGGGTTTACCTCACTCGAAATTGAAACGATGTTTTTAAAAAACCACTGCTTCAATTTAAGGAGAATTAACCCCCCGTGTCATGTACAGATGCCTTAAGAGCCAAAAAAGGGATTAGGCATTGCAGCACCAAAATTTTAGTTGCTCTGCCTTCTAAGTAAAGGCACTGAGTAGAGGTTTTTAAGTTCCTTATGCCAGTGGGAACCAATCTTATTGGCAGGCATGCCACAAATTAAGCCCCAGGACTTCCCCAAGTACACTCCAATCCTCTTCTGCTGCCTGAGCCATGACTTTCTGCCCCCTGTTCTGTGCTGCTGCTGACGATCTGCTACTCTGCTTCCTGCCCCATCTGCTGCTGTGCTGTCTGCCTCTTCTCTTATCTGCTGCATACTACACATGGAGGCTACCCATGCCATACTTGTAGTAAGTGTTCTACAGGTTGGCCATCCATGCTTTATAAAATGCCTGGGGAAATTGAGAATCTCAGAATGAGATTTACAACTGCTGGTACTCTTGAGTTGGGCCATTCCCCATACCTATAGGCTGGGGAACTCCCTTCTCAAAAGCACAGTGAAAGAAAGAGATCTTGGAGTCATTATTGATTCTAAAATGAACATGGGCCGCCAATGTGAGGCAAGGCTAACTGCACTTTGTCATGTATCTATAGATGCATTATGAGCAGGTCCAAGCAGGTGATCCTCACCCTCTATGTGATATTGGTCAAGCCACAGTTGGAGTACTGAATCCAGTTTTTGGCACCGCACTTCAGGAGGGATGAGGCCAGCATCAAGAGGGTCCAGAGGAGAGCCACTTGCATGATCAGTGGGCAGCAGGGCAGGCCCTATGAGGAGAGGCTATGGGACTTGAACCTGTTCAGCCTTCACAAGAGAAGGCTGAGGGGGGATCTAGTGGCCATTTATAAACTTACCAGGGGGGACTAGAGGGGAATGGGTTCCCCTGTTCCCCCGAGTGCCTCTCGGAGTAACAAGGAATAATGGCCACAAGTTGATTGAGAGTAGGTTCAGGCTAGACATCAGGAGGAACTACTTCACAGTCAGGGTGGCCAGGATCTGGAACCAGCTTCCAAGGCAAGTGGTGCTGGCTCCTACCTTAGAGATCTTTAAAATGAGGCTTGATAACTACCTAGCTGGGGCCATATGAGCTTAAACTTACTAGGGGTCATATGAGCCCAGTATTCATTCCTGCCCAGGGCTGGGGGTCAGACTTGATGATCTGCTTAGATCCCCTCCGACCCTACATCTATGAATTTAAGCTAACTGTTAGAAATGCCTTTTGGAAACCAAGGCACTCCACTGGCATCCTCTTTAGCAAGGTTCTTCTGTCAAATTAGAATTTATAATCCCAGGCCATTTCTTTCAACTGGGTAGTTAACTTGTTTATTCCAAAAACAAGATGTAGATCACATTTAAGAGTAGGATCCAAAAATTCAGAACGCTGAGCCAGGTGCCATTTAAGCCCACCAATAGAAAATACCAGGAAGAATGTTACATATTGCAACATGCTCAACCCAACCTCAGATCCAAATGTGCCATAACACAAGGCATGCCAAGTAAGTGTATAGATTTTCAGTAACTTAAAAGTATCAATGATTTAACAAAAGGGCTTCTCATACTTAACTGTAGCATAGATGGTACTCACTATAATTTAGCCTGTTTAATCAGGTATTTGCAGAAAAAGCCGTTGCGCTCATGCTCTTTGATTTGTCTAGTTCTTCCACTCTTACCTAGAAAAGGCTAATTTTGAGGGCTGGAATACAAAAGACTGAAGGTTCTTACTGCAGGACCTCATTGTGGTCAGCCTTTATTCTTGTGCACTATCATTCCAGCTCTACTACCTCTACTTTTTTTCATGGGCTGGAAGATTTGACAGGAGGAAACATTATGTTCTACAAGGCTGAGCTGAACTATACCTCAAAAAGAACATAAATTCAATTCATCTATTGCTAGATGTAATGCAATTTACTATTCCTGTTTGGTTTCATGGCTGCTTTCCCAACATTTTATGAAACCTTTCAAATCTATGGCCAGAACAACTGGAGATTGGCCTATACATCTATACTATAGTTGTATGAGGTCTCCACTGAGCACTGCAAATGATTGAGTGATTCATACCTGAATTAATCCCTGCTTTTTTAGACAAATAAAAATTTACTGTTGATCAGACAATGATTTGCTACTCTTCCATCCTGTGCCTTACTTAACATTCATTTGGTCCCCTTAGTGCTAAACCTCATACTGATCTTCAACTTCATTCCCTCTCTGTCAGATGCAGATACTTCCAAGTCCCTTTTAATAACCTACAGGGCTAGGAAATATATAAAGTAAGATTGGCTTCATTGTACATGCATGTCTTATTTAAAGAAGCCGGTGGGTGTTTTTTTACTGTGGTTGTTTAAATAATAATAATAATAATCCTTAGCTCTAACAGCATTTTTCATTAGCATATGTGAAACTTTACAAAAAAGGCCAGTCTACTTATTCTCCTTTTAAGTGTGGGGAAAGTCAGGGAGAGTAGAAGTGATTTGTCAAAGGTCAGATTTGTTCAACCTCAGGCCTACTCCAGGGCTGTGCCCAGAACAGTTCTTAATACAAAATCTCATCAAGAAAAATAGATTGTTCCAAGGTTCTGGGTCTCTACTTACCCTGGGAATGCTTGTAGGCACATAAACCTCAGGAGAGGATTCAGGGCTATGAATCCTGAGTGGAGTGATTATCTTAGCCTCAGAGAGGTGGAATTTAAGACTTATCCTTGTCTTCATTATTTCTTATTGGCTAGCCAGGAGTCTCATACCTAAAAAGTAGGCACTTCACAGTCTTAGAAGAACCATGCCACACATGGTTCTCAAGTTACTTGCATGAACATGGAACTTACACAAACAGATGAAATTGTCACATTTTTTTTAAAATTTGTGTCCTTTAAATTAGAGTGAAACAAAATGACTGCTTTCTACTTAGCTGTACTAAGACTTCAATCCTGGGCTGTTCATTTGGCAGGTTATGCTGGAGCCAGGAACCTGGAAGCCATGGAAACATAGAGTGCTGAAGCAGGCAGGCTGAAGAAGTACCAGGGTAAATTAACAAGATGCCAGGCAGCTTTCAAAACGTGCCAAGCAGATGGTATACATGGGGAATGTATCTTTTCTGAAAGAATGTTGTCAATAAAACCAGAACTTCAGAAGCAGCTGGTGCTAGTGCAGAGAGCACTGGATGAAGTTACTAAACATGCTATGGAGAGAAAAACCTTTGGAGAATGACTATAAGTAAGTTTATTATAAAACAAGCAGAAGTTTAATAACACATGTTCTATTAATAGAGCCTACTTGTATAACTCTGTTTGATTTCATAAGGTACCATAGCATCCTTTTTTCCTCACTGTGGTTTCCATAATTACAAATAAATTAAGCCATGTGCTAAATCCAAGAATCCTGAGAGAATGAGTTGGTAAGCAGGTTGGCTTTCAAATCAAGTGCTCATGCTTAACGGCAGCAGCCAAATATGAAGTCCTGTTCCTTATTGGGAAATGGGTTGCACAAAATGTAAGATTGATCCCATACTCTCTTTCTGACAAACGTGAAACCAAACAAACGATATTAATATGGTTAGAGACAAAGTAGTTTGGCAAACATTGAGATTAATGACTAGTTTAAAAATAACTTTAAACTGGGTTTGCTGCATGATGGAGACCATAGCCCAGAGGTAAATGCAGAAGCCAATGACCTGAAGGAAGCAGAAGCAGGAGCAGGAGGGGACAACAGGGGAGCCCTTCATATCCTCCTGAGAAAGTAGGGTAATTGGCTAGTTATCTCAAGTGTCTAGACATGAATGCATGGAGCCTGGGAAACAACCAGGAAGAATTGGAAATCCTCGCAAAGTCATGAAACTATGATGTGATTGGAGTAACTGAGACTTGGTGGGATAGCTCGCATGACTGGAGCACTGTCATGGATGGGTATAAATGTTTCAGGAAGGACAGGCAGGGGAGAAGAGGAAGAGGAGTTGCTCTTTATGTAAAAGAGCTATATGCTTGCTCAGTACAGTATGAAACTAGAAACACGCTTCTTGAAAGTCTCTGGTTTAGGGTCGGAGGGAAGAGCAACAAGGGTGATGTCATGTTTACTATAAATCACCAGATCAGGAGGATGAGGTAGATAAGGCTTTCTTCAGACAACTAGCAGAAGTTTCAAGATTATAGGCCCTGGATCTCATGGAGGACGTCAGTCACCCTGACATCTGATGGGAGGGCAATACAGCAGTGCACGGGCAATTCAGGAAGGTTTTATAAAGTGTTGGGAACAACTTCCTGATGTACATGTTGGAGAGGCCAACTAGCGCCCATGCTTTTCTTGAGCTGGTGTTCACAAACAGGGATGAATTGGTGGGGAATGAAGAAGTGGATGGCAACTTCTTGGGAAGAAGTTGAAGATCTTGGGAAGATCTTGGAGAGAATCATCAAGGAGCATATCTGTCGGGGGCCTGCAGGGGAGATCATGCTCAGAGCAATCAGCATGGGTTCATCAAAGGCAGGTCCTGCCTGACCAACCTGATTGCCTTCTATGACCAAGTAACTAAATCTTTGGATGATGGTGTCGCCATGGACGTAGTCTTTCTAGACTTTAAGAAGGCCTTTGACACTGTCTCTCACCCCATCCTCATCAATAAATGAAGCAACTGTGGCATTGATGCCTACACAGTTGCATGGGTAAAAAATTGGCTGGTGGGGTGCACCCAAAGAGTAGTGGTGGACGGGTTGTACTCAACCTGGTGAGATGTGACCAGTGGGGTACCCCAGGGCTTGACCCTCAGGCCCACACTGTTTAACATCTTCGTCAGTGACTTGGATGAGGGGGTCAAAGCACGCTGTTCAAGTTTGCTGATGACACTAAGATGTGGGGCAAGGTGGACACACTTGAAGAGAGAGAGGCTGCAAATAGATTTAGACATACTACAAAAGTGGGCATATGAGAACAGGATGGGGTTCAATGTAGATAAATGCAGGGTGCTGCACCTTGGGAGAAGGAATCCACAGCCTACATACAGGCTGGGGAGTTCCCCTCTTGAAAGCACAGAGGCAGAAAGGGATCTTGGAATCATTATTGACTCTAAGATGAACATGAGCCGCCAATGCCATACCACAGCCAGGAAGGCAAGCCATACCTTGTCATGCATCCAAAGGTACATCTCAAGCCAGTCCAGAGAGGTGATACTCCCCCTCTATGCGACTTTGGTCAGGCTGCAGTTGGAGTACTGCGTCCAGTACTGGGCGCCACACTTCAAAAGGGATGTGGCCAGCCTGGAGAGGGTTCAGAGGAGGGCCATCCACTTGGTGAGAGGGCAGCAGGGCAGGCCCTATGAGGAGAGTCTGAGGGACCTGAACCTGTTCAGCCTCAGTAAGAGGAGGCTGAGGGGGGACCTGGTGGCTGCCTACAAACTCATCAGGTGAAATCAACAGCAAATAGATAGAGCCCTTTTCTCCCCGGCATCACCTGGGGTGATAAGGAACAATGGTAATAAGCTGATGGAGAATAGGTTTAGGTTAGAGATCAGATGGCAATATTTTACAGTTAGGGTGGCCAAAATTTGGAAGCAACTTCCCAGGGAAGTGTTCTTTATCCCTACCTTTGGCAAATTCAAGAGGAGATTGGATGATCACCTGTCTGGGGTCTTGTGAACCCAGCATTCATTCCTGCCTGTGGCAGGGGGTCAGGCTAGATGATCTGTTCAGGTTCCTCATGACCCTAGCTACTATGAAACTTGGGCAGGAGTAACCATGAGATGATTGAGTTCAGGATGCTGAGGGAAGGAAGGAAGGAAGGAAAGCATCAGAGTAAGGACCCTAAACTTCAGGGGACTGATGGACAGGATCCTCTGGGAGACTAGTCTGAGTGGGGAAAGGAATCCAGGAGAGATGGTTTTTATTTTAATGAAATGTGACTAAGGGTGCAGGAATGACCCATGCTGACGTGCAGGAAGACTAGCAAGTATGGCAGAAGATCAGCTTGGTTTAGCAAGGAATTCCTCAGTGAGCTAAACACAAAAAGGAAGCTTATGAGTAGTGGAAACTTGGACAAACTACTCAGGAGGAGTCTAAGAGTATTGCTTAGGCATGCAGGGATAAAACAAAGGAAGGCCAAAGCACAGTTTGAGTTGCAGTTAGCAAGGGATGTGAAGGGCAATAAGAAGGGTTTTTACAAGCATGTCAGGAACACAAGGGATAGTGTGGGTCCCTTACTGACTGGGGGAGGCAATCTAGTGACAGATAATGCAGAAAAGACTGAAGTACTCAATGCCTTTTTTTACCTTGGTCTTCATAGGCAAGGTCAGTTCCCAAACTATTGCACCTAGCAGCACTGTTTGGGGAGGAGATGAGCAGCTGACAGTTGCAAAAGAACAGATTAGGGACTATTTACAAAAGCTGGAAATGTACAGGTCCATGGGATTGTATGTGATGCACTCAAGGGTGCCGAGAGAGTTGGCCAGTGTGATTGCAGAGCCACTGGCTGTTATCTTTGAAAACTTGTGGCAGTTGACAGAGGTCCCAGATGACTGGAAAAGGGCAAATATAGCTTCCTTCTGTAAGAGAGGGAAGAAGGAAGATCCAGGAAATTGTAGACCAGTAAGCCTTACCTTAGTCCCTGGAAAAATCATGGAGCAGATCCTCAAAGAATCAATTTCTAAGCACTTGGAGAAGAAGAAGGTGATTACGAACAGTCAACGTGGATTGACAAAGGACAAGTCATGCCTAACCAACTAGATTGCTTTCTACATTGAGATGACTAGCTCTGTGAATGCGGGTGAACAGCGCATGTGATGTACCTTGACTTTAGCAAGGCTTTTGATATGGCCTCCCACAACATCCTTTCAAGCATACTAAGGAAGTATAGGATGGACTGTAAGGTGGCTAGAAAACTAGCTGGATTGTCAGGCTCAAAAAGTAGTAATCAATGGCTCAATGTCTATTTGGGATCCAGTATCAAGTGGAGTGCACCAGGGGTCAGTTCTGAGGCTGGTTTTGTTCAATATCTTCATCAATGATCTGGATGAATTGCACCCTCAGCAAGTTTGTGGATGACACCAAACTGGGTGGAGTAATAGATACACTGGAGGACTGGCTAAGCAGCAGCTTTTCAGAAAAGGACCTGGGGATTACAGTGAACAATATTTTGAATACAAGCCAAAAGTGTGCCCTTGTTGTGAAGAAGGCTAATGGCATACTGGGCTGCATTAATATAAGTGTTGCCATCATATTGAGGGAAGTTATTCTTCCCCTCTATTCCACACTGGTGAGGCCAGATATGGACTACTGTTTCCAGTTTTGGGGCCACCACTACAGAAAGGATGTGGTCAAATTGGAGAGAGTCCAGTGCAGGGCAACAAAAATGGTGAGGGGGTTGCAGGACATGACTTGTGAGGGGAGGCTAAGGGAACTGGGCTCTTTAGTCTTTGGAAGAGAAGACAGAGGAGATATTTAAGCCTTCAAGTACTGGACAGGTGGTTACAAAGAGAATGAACCTAGACTGTTTTCAGTGGTGGCAGATAATAGAACAAGGAGCAATGGTCTTAAGTTTCAGCAAGTGATACTGGAGCCTGCTAGATTGCGGTAATTACCACACTCCAGCAGGCTTGACTAAGCGCATTGGAGCAGCCTTGCTGCACGTGTATAGGGGCCCAATGGTTCCATTTCACCTAGGAAACTTTTATGTCATTTCAGGTGGTTAACAGCTGCATTGTGGCCATAGAGTGAATGCATGGTGTTTTCAACCTGTCATGATCATTCCATTTTTCAGGTAACCGCGTTCCTGATGTCCAGTAGAACAATTTCAGTAAGCGCATCCAGGCTATTCACATTTTGTTTTACATATTCTGTAATGTAAAAGCAGCTGTCATTCTACTCAGGGCCCAACTTTGTACAAGCTGACCTTTCTCATGTGAGACATCCATATTCAGCTACTGGGAAGCAAGTGTTGTATTGGCTTCCAACTTTGTACTTTGTCCAACTTTGTTCCGGGTACTAATTTTGCCTTCTTTTTTACTTCTCCATAGGTGTCTTGAAGGAGAGTTCTCTGTGGGAGATTCCAATTTCAAGTATTTGGCAAGTTCTGAGGAAAAATTGTTTAACCATTTTTTTTTTTTTTTTTTTGAGGGGAAGCTCTAAAAAGACAAAATTGGCAAATTTTCCTTTCTTGTTTCTGTATACTGTGAATGCATTTGGACTGTTCTGCATGATATATCTAACCCCCTGTTATGTTGTTACATTGATTATAAACATTATTTTTTACCACATGAAAAAAACAAATCTCCTGCTATATAGCAGAATAGCAAATGAGTCCTTAGAACTAACAACAAAATAGCAAACGTCTGTGGAATTCCTACAGTGCTTCAATGAAAGGAAGGGACTTTGAGGTCTTGTGGCTAAAGTACTGAAAAAGGCCTTAGAAGGCAAGAACTAATATTGTAAGCTCCTTCACTAATTTCCTATTTGACCTTGGGAAAATCCTTTATGGCCTTTTAGAGGTATTGAGTACTTGCAACTGCTACTCACTTGAATGCCCAGTTCTCAAAATCTAGCCATTAATCTCTCACTCTCTCCCTTTGTCATTTGTAAAAATGATTTACAGCACTCCAGTATTTTTAAGATACATCCTCAATTTATGTGATTTAGAATCTGTCAATAAAGAGAAAATAATTAGGGAAAATAGCTTTTTTAAACTTTTTTTTTTTTTATGGCAGCACTGGTACCACAGTAGCATTTCTAACCAAATGAACATCATATTTGGCAATTCTCAGATAAATCTAGAAGTTGAATGCTGCCCTCATAACATTAATACTGTTGATATTGTGAAAGTCAAGAGAATCCATGATAATTTATCACGTTTAAAAAAACAAAACCTAAACATTGTCTATACTTCCTTCTTTGATGGTGGGTTTCTGTCAGATATTTTAATAATGTGTTTTCTAAGAAGACTACTGGATAATCTACTGGAGTATAGAACCCTACTCTTGCAAATACATTTCTATCAATGTAATTAAAAAAATTCCATTTTCAAGTGTTTAAAATACTTAGTTAAGGTAATGTTTATATTTCTAAGCCTCTGCAGGAACCTGTTGATAGAGGATTACTTCCACATATGCCAATTGATTCACGCAGGTGTACTTTCAGAGTTTCATGCCAAGGCTTAGGATGTGGAAATGTGGAAATTGCATAAACTAGACTTCTTTTTTCTATCTATATTGGCTATATACACATCACAATTTTTAATGAGTTTATTATCTTAGCAGTCCTATCAGATGGTGAAGTCCTGCTGGAGGCAAGAGAAAATCAAGGGCTCAAATTCATGGAAGTACTTGGGAGTTTGAAGTGGGCCTTAGGTAAAATTCTGACTCCTAAGCACATTACTAGATTTTGCTCTAGTCTTTTTAATCCAAGTGTTACAGTAGAGAAATGCAAACCACCACCTCCTACTTCCTCATCCAATCCCCAAAATATCACAAGAACTTAAGTTTTCTCCAGGAATGCACCCTAGGTACCTAGACTACAGCTGCTCCACATAGAACACCTTAGCAGGGTTGAGCATTTTAGGGTGCCTGTAGACATGGAGGGATGCTGCTCCAAAGTGCTGTAATTACTGCACCTCAGAGCAGGCTGGATTACATACCTATGAGGTGCTGTGGGTGCTTTAATTACAGCAGCTCTGAGAGCTGCTCTAATTAAAGCACCCCCACCCCTGGAGCACATTTAAAGGTGCCCTTGGTGTCATTTTATGACTAAATGTATTTGGGATTCATGAACTAGACTTTCTTGTACCTAAATCCCTCAAGGAGCCTGATCTCAGAGGTATGCTCAGAATATACCTAACTAGTGGCATTGAGTTCAGAACAAAATGTTGTTAGATAAAAACAGGTAGAAGGAATGTATACAGTGTATATAGTACTCTACAAGTAAATGCACTGACATAGGAAATAGGTTCCATGCCCTCCTAAGTTTCCTGGAGATTTAAACCTAGCACCAGACTATGGCAGTTTTAAGAAAAGATATTTGCTACCTTTCCATTTAAAGCTGAAGCAATGTACAGCAAGGAACACAAGATCCATGGGGACAGAACAGAGTTGCCAACTGTGCATAAATATATAAACAGTCAGTAGAAAATAAGGTTAAAAATGCCAGTGCAAAAAGTGCACAAGAAAACCTGAGCTGTCCAAAAGAAACTCTAAGCAGTTGGAGCTTGATTGAAGCTCCATGTTTGGTAAGAAGCTGAGTACAGTGTTGAAGGACAGACAGAGCAGAACAGTGCCAGTTGGCATCAAAGCAGGAAGGCAGTATCCTGCAGGGAACCCTTTTTTAGGGATTTGTAACCTCTCCCCCCAGGCATGTGCTGCTGCTGTTGCTGCATCCTGTCAGCTGCCCATATTACTGCTGAGTCACATGTAGGCTTCCTTGTTGGTCTATACTGGGACAGTGGGAGTAGGACCAGCATGGGTAAGGTTGGGGGGAGGGGGGTCAGCATTACGCATGGTATGGTTGAGGGCATCAGGATGTGGGGTGAGAAGGTTCCCCTGGGAGAGCAGCAGAGTACAAAAAACATCACTGCAGTCTAACAAGGTTGTCAACCCAAGCTTTTTTTTTCTGCAAACTTTTTACTGATAACCAAACTTTTATTATTTTTTTAATGTGGTTGGTATTACACTCCTAAATTTGAACCCAGCTCTTCTAACTGGGATCTGGAAGCAGAGAAGGGCCTGGGTAAAAGAGTTACATTTACATTATGTAAAACAAGTGTCAGTTAAGAAGTCTGGTTGTCAGTAAAAAGTCTGTAGATGATCAGTACACCAAAATAAAAAAAAGGAAAAAAAAAACTTGTTAGGATGGCCATCCTGAATCAGAAAGACAAGAGACAAGCAAGCAATAACTTTGTAGCCCAATGATTAGGGCACTCATCTGTGATTAAAGGAGTCCTGGGTTCCAGTTCCTGTTCACAACATTATTTTCTATTTTATAAAATGTCTCCTAACTGTAGATTATAAAGAGTTCTGAAAACAGGTATCAGTAGTCTAACATCCGGGGTATTTTTAAAATGTGGGAAGTGGTGGTGTCCTTCTTCCCCTGTCATGTTTTAAAAGAAAATAATGAACATAAAGGAGGGAACACCTTAGGTTTCTAAGTGCAGAAATGGGTTTCAGGATATCAATCCCAGCCTCACATCTCTTAGAGTTGCAGGGAGATGTTTATATAAGGTGTCCATTTAATGTTTCCTATTGGCTAACATAAGTACTCTCCTGTTCCCTGTGCTGGCTGTTATGAATCCCTTTGTAAAATACCAAAATCTTTTCTTGAATAAGAATTTTAAATTGTGAATTCCATGCAGGAATCCAGCTACATAAAATCTAAGTGTGGCAATGCTCACTGTGCATATAATAAATCCCTTTGTGATTCTGGAACTAAGCAAACACCTGCAAGGTCACACACATGATCTGTGGTGGAGCAGCGTTTAGTTTTCCCGAGTATTAGGATAACACTTAACCACCTTACCCAGCCATAATTTTTATTGATGTTTGAAAATATATATATTATTGCTTATGCTTGCTGGAGTAAACTGGTTTTCAGATTTCATTCTGTGGCCTGCCAAGAAGTAAGTGACTGAAAGAGCATGCAATATATGTGCCAACTCATTGGAGATTTTACATATTTTTTTCTAGTTTAGCTATGAATTCAGAGCTGTGTTTCTGTACAGAAATGTAAATGCTCATAAAGTTGCATAAAATATTACACAATTAATGAGCATTTTGGTGATAAAATGAGATGCCTGTGGAGGGAATATGACTTACCTGACCTTGAGTATGCCTAGAGAACTTTCCACTAATGGGAAGCAATACACTTCAAAAAAGATAGGAAAAAAATTGGAAAGAGCCAGAGAAGAGGAACAAAAATTATTAAAGGTCTAGAAAACATGACATATGAGGAAAGGTTGGAAGAACTGGGTTAATTTAGCCAAGAGAAGGATGGAGGTTATTTGATAACTGTCTTCAAACACATAAAAACTCTTTTTTTTTTTTTTTTTTTTTTTTTTATAGAGGATGACAATCAATTGTTCTCTGTGTCTACAAGGGACAGAATAAAAAAAGGAGGAAAAAAGTAAATGAAGTAAATGGCTTAAATCACAACACGGGATATTTAGATTTTATATTAGGAAAAACTTCCAACTCTGAGGGCGGTTAAGCACTGGAGCAGGTCACCTAGGGACGTTTTAAAATCTCTGTTGCTGGAAATGTTTAGTGCAGATTAGCCAGACGTTTGTCTAGGGTGGTTTAAGCAACAATGAGTTTACTTTGAGCAGGGGTTTGGACAAGATGAACCTTCTAAGGTTCAATTCAGCCTTGTTTGGGCATGGTTCTGTCTAATGGATGTACCGATTTGGAGCTACATACTTTCAAACAACTGTTTATTTGTGAGAGTCATGATATCATGTCAAGCTCCAAACCTCCCAAATACAAACCTACTCTTGCTGAACATTTATGTGTTTTACTCAGCCTGCAGATCAAAATCTGCTCTGTAGTTAAATGGCAGAGAATGAATAAAAAAGCTGCATTTTTCTCCTTTCCCAGGGTCTAATACAGTTCCAAGCTCTTAGACCCAGACCCCTATAGGTATTTAAATATTAGCTCTTACTGGGCTTGTCCAGGTGAACACACACAGACCTGTTGCAGTTTGAGATGCTGCAAGAGGCACACTAAAAATGAAAAAAATGTTCCCTGCACTCTCTATTTGCAGCACAGGCTCTACATTTTATACCTGGATTTCCAGGTATCAAAAATCAACACCCAGAAAAAAGCAGTGCAAGGCACAGTTTTGCAGCATGCCCTGAGGCAAACAGAGCCTGGGTCCTTCAAAGACGCTCTGGCATCTCGCAAAAGCATGTCTATGGTACTCCTGCTGGCCCAGCATGCTATGTTAGTGTGAGAGGCAAACAGAAGAAGGGCAAGGCTGTGGTATGACCTGACCCCGGGGCTGTGTGGTTTTTGGTGGGATTTGTGGGTGTGGCAGGTGTGGGTGGGTGGGTGTGTGGGGCATGGTGGGGGTATGGGGTTTGTGGGGAAGGTCTGAGGGGGAGCCACCACATGCCCCCCCCTCCACACACTCCCTATGGCCATGCCCACTGCAGTGCTGCCTCACCCGCAGTCTGTGCACAAAGAACAGGCCTGGCCTGACTTGACCTGGCCTGCCCCACTAGCGCGCCTTTGGATAGGACTCAGGACAGCTCCTGACAATACCTGAGGCTTCTGTCCAAAGGTACATGCTAGCGGGGCAGTACAGGCAGGGGCTGGTCAGGTCAGGTTGGGCCCGTTTTCCATGAGGGTGAGGCAGTGGTGAGTGGCCTCAGGGCTGTGCCTACAGTGGGCCATGACTGCCCTGATGGCCTGGCTGGCTGCTGCCGGGGGGATGAGCATGTGGTGGCTCATATACTCCCCACACCTACCCACATAACACAAGGCCCCCCACACCACCCACCCTCTCCTGCAAATCCCACATCCCCCCACACCTACCCACACACCT